ATATGTCCTCTGTGTATGTATCACACACCATATGTCCTCTGTGTATGAATGTATCACACACCATATGTCCTCTGTGTATGTATCACACACCATATGTACTCTGTGTATGTATGTATCACACACCATATGTCCTCTGTATGTATGTATCACACACCATATGTCCTCTGTGTATGTATATGTCACACACCATATGTCCTCTGTGTATGTATCACACACCATATGTCCTCTGTGTATGTATGTATCACACATCATATGTCCTCTGTGTATGTATGTCACACACCATATGTCCTCTGTGTATGTATATGTCACACACCATATGTCCTCTGTGTATGTATCACACACCATATGTCCTCTGTGTATGTATATGTCACACACCATATGTCCTCTGTGTATGTATATGTCACACACCATATGTCCTCTGTGTATGTATCTGTCGCACACCATATGTCCTCTGTGTATGTATCACACACCATATGTCCTCTGTGTATGTATATGTCACGCACCATATGTCCTGTGTATGTATCACACACCCTATGTCTTCTCCCTCCCCCCAGACCTGGCGGAGCGCGTGTATCCGCGTAAACAGAAGCCTGTGGTGCTACATGTGTTGCCCGTCCTCTGGCACCTGCTGGGCTGCATCAACTCTAGTGGCACAGCGAGCCACGGTGGCGCCCCGGACCTGCGCCAGGCCACCGTCATGCTTGTCTCCCCTCTCTACGACCTCATGGGACAGGGCTTGATGGAGAAAGCCAGTGCTGAACCCAGCATGACGCAGCGACAGATCCAGCTGCTACACACTTTGGTAGAGGGATAGTCCCACACGACACGGTGAAGTCTGACACGACGCAGCAACAGATTCAGTTGCTACACACTTTGATAGAGGGACACACTCAACTGCTACACACTTTGATAGAGGGACACACTCAGCTGCTACACACTTTGATAGAGGGACAGGCTCAGCTGCTACACACTTTGATAGAGGGACACGCTCAACTGCTACACACTTTGATAGAGGGACACCCTCAACTGCTACACACTTTGATAACCCTCAGTGCATAGGGAATGTTTGGCCAGTGTTGTGTTCGTTTGTGTGACTTTATGTTTTGTGTTGTGTTCGTTTGTGTGACTTGTGTGTTTGTGTGACTTGTGTTCGTTTATCTGTCTTTAAGTTT